ATACATGTGCTGCTGAAGTGAGCAAGAGGTATATTTATATAATCCCTTGTTATTATTTCTATCTTCATATTTTTTGTGACTACTGTATGAAAGTCTGATTCTTCAGTTTGCATTTCAGGCAGTGGAGTCCACAGATATATTCTCAGAATCTTACGGGCATTTAAAATTGTGTTCTCATTTTTATGGTGATCTAAACAAATTAACAAAATTGTTTCTGGGTCATGAGTATGGTCATCTTGTAAAGGAGTACTGCTACGACATTTCAGCGCCTGCATTTGTATTTGTGTTTATGATTGCACTGGCAACAAGTTGTACTATTTTAATTGTTGTGGACAAATAAGAAAATAACAGCAATGAACTTAACGCATAGTGCCAAATGAAGGTCAAATGACCTTCACTAAATGAACATTTCATATTAGTGGAAATGGATAATATTAAAGGTGAATTAGGTCATGTCAGCATGAAGCAAAGGACAATTAGAGTATGTCTAATTCACTAGAACCAGGTCATACCATCCTCATGTTGAAAGTAGCAAAATAATGTCATTCTTATCAGTATTTAATTTCAGGAACTGTATTTTACTTTATAAAATTTCATTTGCAATTTATGTAAAAGTTTTCTATTTAACTGGTAAATTTGTTTTCTTTCTCTTCCTTCCTTCCTTCCTTTTTTTTTTTTTTAGTACAGTTTGAAAGCTTCAAGTGTTTAGATAATAGAATAAGAATATTTAAGTCCAAATGGGAAGTTGAGGGGATTGTTCTGGCTACCATTACTTAGTTTTGCAAAACCTTGACCAGGGAAACATTAAGTAAGGCTAAAGATAGAAACATGAATTTTGTGGTTTAGAAGAGAGGACGTTTATTTGACCTAAGTGTTTTCATAAATAGCTTCATAACTGAATGTAACAACAAAAGAAATTGCATATCATTTCTATTTATCTCATTAAGTCTGTGCTATCCATATTTTTTTAATAATTTTTTATTGTTATGTTAATCACCATACATTACATCATTAGTTTTTGATGTAGTGTTCCATGATTCATTGTTTGTGCCTAACACCCAGTGCTCCACGCAGAACGTGCCCCCCTCAACACCCATCACCAGGCTAACCCATCCCCCCACCCCCTCCCCTCTAGAACCCTCAGTCTGTTTTTCAGAGTCCATCGTCTCTAATGGTTCGTCTCCCCCTCCGACTTACCCCCCTTCATTCTTCCCCTCCTGCTATCTTCTTCTTCTTTTTTTTTCTTAACATATATTGCATTATTTGTTTCAGAAGTACAGATCTGTGATTCAACAGTCTTGCACAATTCACAGCGCTCACCATAGCACATACCCTCCCCAATGTCTATCACCCAGCCACCCCATCCCTCCCACCCCCCACCACTCCAGCAACCCTCAGTTTGTTTCCTGAGATTAAGAATTCCTCATATCAGTGAGGTCATATGATACATGTCTTTCTCTGACTGACTTATTTCACTCAGCATAACACCCTCCAGTTCCATCCACGTCGTTGCAAATGGCAAGATCTCATTCCTTTTGATGGCTGCATAATATTCCATTGTGTATATACACCACATCTTCTTTAGCCATTCATCTGTCGATGGACATCTTGGCTCTTTCCACAGTTTGGCTATTGTGGACATTGCTGCTATAAACATTGGGGTGCACGTACCCCTTCGGATCCCTACATTTGTATCTTTGTGGTAAATACCCAGTAGTGCAATTGCTGGATCGTATGGTAGCTCTATTTTCAACTGTTTGAGGAACCTCCATACTGTTTTCCAGAGTGGTTGCACCAGCTTGCATTCCCACCAACAGTGTAGGAGGGCTCCCCTTTCTCCGCATCCCTGCCAACATCTGTCATTTCCTGACTTGTTAATTTTAGCCATTCTCATATATATATTTTTTTTTTATCTCTCATAAAGGATGAAGATCTACAAGAGATGGAGGATTTAGCCCAAAAAATGGAGGCACAGTTTGGCCAGTTTTTTGATCATGTGATTGTGAATGACAACTTGCAAGATGCATGTGCCCAGTTGTTGTCTGCTGTTCAGAAGGCTCAGGAGGAGCCTCAGTGGGTACCAGCACCATGGGTTTCCTCGGATACTGAGTGTTAAGGAAGCCTCCTGCTTAGTGCCGGAGTTTTAATAATACCCATCTGTAACAGAGCTCTGGAATAACGGCTGCAAAGCAAAACAACAGTATTTGCTCCCTTTGTAATGTATGCAAATTTAAACGTGGTGCAGTTTATTCATTAAGCTTATTTGAAAAAAATATTTGCATTGTATGCATGTAGAATTACCTCCTTGGCTTTCAGGAAAAAAAATGTTTTCCTTTACCTCATATGCAGCAGTGGTTAGAATACAAACAATGTTAAGCCACTGAGTGTGAAGACCTTTTATAGATTTCGTATGGTCTTTGTACAATTCAGACAAAAGAGCTTCCCTAAATAAAATAAGTAGTACTTAATTTCAGAAACTGTATTTAACCTCATACGATTTCTGTTTTATGAAAACGGCTTTTACAAAAAGTGCCTTCTTGACTGACTCGGCAAGAAAAAAGGGTTAATGTACACATTTCACATCTAACATGAAAACTTACAGAAATGGCGCTGCCCTCATCACTTATACATCAGTCTACAAGGAAAAAATTATTCTTCTGATCAGAGCTATAACCATAATTAATTTGCCTAAAAGCCAATATCCACATGACACCTAAATTAGGAAAAGGCAATTGACTTTAGTCCTAGAGATCCATATCTGAGAAAACCGTAAGACGAGAAGGCTATTCCAGGAAGTCTTATTTTTCTTTCTCCCCTAGGTCTTGAGACTTCCAGTCAGTCTTGCTGCCCCTGTATCTGTGCTCTGCATCATACTCTAATGTTCCCCATACCCACACTCTACCCCTCTACCCCTCCAATCTTTCTTAATTATAAAACAAACCAAGTGCATACTTCAAAATATTTTTAGTTTTTTGCTTGATCTTTAAAAAAAAAAAAACCCAAGAAAAAATTAAACCCAACTTCCCCCCCCCCAAAAAAAACCCAACCAAAGAAAATTAAGTCATTTTTAATGATACATGTGTTGTGGGTTGGTTTGTTTGTTTGGATTTTTTTTTTTTTTTTTTTGAGAAAAAGCTTTTCCAAATGTGACTTACCAAGATGGAGGATAAGCAACTGGTAAAATTTTGAGAATTGCCTGTATCAACACACAGACACACAAACACACACACACAACTGGAAGAAATCTGGTATTTGTATCAATACATACCCATCCTCAAACATTGGGCTTGGCGCGGGGTGGGGGGAGAAGGGGGCATCTCTAGCACCCTACAAAGGCGGTGTACGAGTTGTGTCTTTCCACAATGTCAGCTTTATTCACTCATAAAGCAGGGTTTACACAATTTTAACAGGTGTAGGATTCCAAACTGAATGACATTTCACTGCCTGTTTAACTTGGCTTCACATACGCCACACAAGAAACAATACAAAGTCACACAATAAACGAGATGCAAGGGTAAGAAGTTCAAGAACCAAACGCAAGTCAGTCAGTGAGTGCCTAGTTGAGAGGAAAACTCAGTCTGGTAGGGGTCAGCTCTGGGTGCTTACCGCTTATTATGTTCAAGCAGTGGAGGGGTCTCTATTTTGTCGAGATCAGTCGGGAGGTTGCCTTTCAAATGCAGTCAGGCATGGAAGACGAATCAGCGTCTGGAGAATCTGACAGTTTGCTACAGAAGTCCTCCCCTTTTATTTATTTTTTTATTTTATTATCATTTTTTATCTAAAGGAGTTTAATCGGTCTTTAGCCCGACCAGACCTCTTCTGGTTCTAGTGATTATCAGTTCCTGGTTCTTCCAGGCAGTCTTGGCCTTGCTGATCATCAGTTCTTGGTACCAACGGCATGTTTGGATTTTAGCAGTATCTATACTCACTCGTGGCCCTTGGCTGCCCTCCTGATTCATTACGTCACTGCCTGAAAAGAGTGATTCCATCCTGCGGTCTACAGGGCTAACCCGGCCCCTCCCTAACTCTGACGCCTTGAGGGCGGGGCATGGCCCAGCAAAGGCAGGCGGAGACCCAGCCCCCAGAGCTGCGGCCTAACCTGACGCCGGGTAGCCCCCGCCTCTCGCAGGTCCCGCAGGCAGAGGCGCGGGGAGCCAAGCTCCGGCCGCCGGCGGTTTCGCTGAGGGAGCCCGGTGGGGAGAGCGCCATGAGAGCGGACTCGGGGCTTCGGCTGGAGGCCCTCCCGGTGAGCGGTGAGGGGCGCTTTCCGCCACGCGAAGTGGCGGAAACAGAGGGCGCTGTCCTAACGCCTCGGCTGCCCCTGGGGCGGGGCCGATGCCCAGGGCTGGGGCTCGCAGAGGGAGAGCCCTGCTCCTGGTGTCTGCGCGTCCGCCCCTCTGATGCGCACAGGCTTGGACCGGAGCGGGCGATGGAAGTTCGTCCCGAGGCCGGGACCCGAACTGCCGGAGCCAGGCGAGGACCCGGGCGTCAAGTTTCCGGGGGCCTAAGTGTCCATGTTGCTATGACGACGCCTTTCTACGTTGCCTTCCCAGCCCCTGAGTGTTCCGGGACTGCCAGCTAGGTCTTTCCTGCGGACTCCTCCTGGAAGGCGTTTAGCCACCCAGGAAAGAGATCGCAGTTTCCGAGTGGAGACTTTTTAATCATGGTCTTTTCCCACCTCCCTCGAACAAATCACTGCAACCACTTGGAAAACCATGGGTAGAACCGTGACTGCTGCCCCACGCCCGCTGGAGTCTCTCTTCCCAGGCATGTCAGCCCCTACTCCGACGTCCCCTATTCCACAAGGCTAGACTGCAAAGGCCCGACCAGCTCCCTGCGCTGGCCTTCGCCCACCTCTTGCAGAGCAGGGGCTGAGTGCCACCGCGGCCAGTGCGGCGCAGTCCGATGACGCCTGGCGCCTGCGCGCGGCCCGCCGGGGCAAGGAGCCCGCACCGGGCGGGCTGTGAGCTCTGGGGCGCCTGGCTGCCGGCGGGCGGCTGCCGGGAAGCCCGGCTTTAGACGCAATGGGAAAGAAGCAGGTGGTAAGCGAGCCTTAGTTACGTTTGAGTTATTAGGATTTTGTGTTCAGTTGAGCCGTCCGACTTTTGAGGGGCTCAGAGGTTGGCCTTGTGGGTGGGTGACACGTCATTTTTGCGGGACTTTTGAAATGTGGAAGTGTCGTGTGAACTGAATCCTTGGACAGAACGCGATCCGTAGCATCTTTGCGCTAGCTCTTTCTTATGACTGTTGTTCTTCTCCAGTTGTGATTTTAATGACCGGATAGTGTTAAGACAGCCTGCTTTGTCCTAATCTCGTAGCTTTGTCCTAATCTCGTAGCAATCCACCGAACGAATGGATTGCTAAATGGGACGGTCGTAGAACAAACTAAAAGAGTATCTATAATGTAACCCTTTTGAGTCAATGTCCTCTGCAAGCCGCATGAGACACTTGGAACATTAAACTGATTTCGAGGCATTTCTGTTAGTATTTTATTTTGAAAGATTCCAAAATGCTTCTCAACTGTAATCTCTCTGAACTGCAAACACAACCTTTTTTTTCATGTAAAGTATCATTTATAAGGTGTATCTTTTTTAATTCTCTGTGCCTTGAAACGCATTCTTCATGCTGTATGCACAGTGATTTTTTTTTAAAAAAAGTATGTTACTGTGTGGTTTAAAACCTCCGTTGGCTTCTCATTGAATTAAAACGAGCTCTGGACATCTTCCTTTTGTCCTCAAGAGCCTAATTAATCTGGCCCCTGCCTACCCTTGGTAACTGCTACAGCCTTACTGGCCTCTTATCTGAAACCTTTTTTCTCTCTCCTAAAAGGCTTTGTATTTACTCCCCTTTGTCTCCTTCCTTATTCAGGTCTCAGCTCAAATATCCCTGAGAGACTTTACTTAACTAAAGAAGCACTCCATAGCCTCCCTCATTTGTGTGTGTGTGTGTTCATAATCTTCTAATACTTAACCAGTACAATGGAAGTACCATAAAGGCAGGGATTTCTCTGTTTTGTTCATTAGTGTATTTGTAGTCCTTAGACCAGAGCCTGGTCTCTGGATAGAAAGGAGTGTAAGAAGGAAGGAATTTTATATGAAATTTAGAAATGGTAGAACAAATTTAGAATTGCCCATCTGATTCTCATTAGTACTTCCTAGGTTTCATTGGATGAACAAGGTTATCAAAAGATTTGAAGTACATGAAGTAAAGATGCTCTGAGACTTTTACTTACAAGCAATTTTCTTTTCCCCATAGCGTCCTCCACGAGCCCTTCCACCTGTGCCAAGGTAAAAATAAGTTACAGTAATTTTATCATTGAGTTTTAAAAATGCAAAATGAATCAAGTGAACAAATTGACTAGTACCATTGCAAAATTAATAATAATTCAGAGAAGACTTCTTGAAAATTTTAGGATAAGGCTTCCTAAAAGCTTAAAGGTAAAAAATCCTTGAATCATTAGGATAACAGTTGTAATTAAATGTTCTGTTTCAAAGCCTGAATGTCAACATGGTTAAGATAATGGATCCATTCTGAATGTTTTAATATCTTGTTTATCAGACTTTTGATCCTCTTTTGTTTGCTAGAATAGTTTCCTCAGAGTTTAAGCTGATTTTAATCAGTGACAAAATAAGAATTCTTAATCTGCTTAATCTACTTTATTAATAGACAGTAGGAAATATGTATATGTAAGTTCAGAAAATATTGGGGTTATTTTGTTAGCGGTTTTATTCGCTTTTTACTTACAAAGAATAAGCTAGTTTATAAACTGGCTGACTGTGTGAAAGCTTACTTTATTTTAAATTTATAATGACTTAAGTCAGTTTTCAGTCTGACAATATAATAGATTTCTAATTAATAGTTTCTTTTTTTGTCTTTGTCCAATTAAATTTGGTCGGTGTCATGTAAAGTGCTAATCAAGGTGAGTTAGTTCACTTTTAATGTAAAACTTTTAAAATTTGGAGTTCAAAAGTTAATTTGATTCCTTAATGTTTTTCTTAAAGTTGAATCTGAATGGTATAATTTATAATATTGCAATATCCTTTTATCAAAATAATCTTATGACTCCTATTTTTTAAATGAGGTTTGATATGTAACAGTAGTTGTATGATTGATTTTGATTCATTCCTGAATGTAGTCACCCAGAACATAACCATTGGCTAGTTTATAGTTCTGTAATAGGGACTACATTTTCTTTTGTCTCATTTAATCAGGATAGACTGGGTTATGCTATACTAACCTCAAGATCTCTGAGTTAATATCATACAGGGTTATTTCTGGTTAATGCAAAGTGCACTGTGGCAGGAATCCAGGGCAATTGTCTTTCACCATTCTTCACTAATGATGTAGTGATTCAGGCTACTTCCATTCTGTGCTTCTGTCATCTTAACATGCTTCAGCAAAGGAAGAGAAAGCTGGAGAGTTACTCACTGGCTCTTTCAGTGTTTTGGCAGATTGGTTCTGCTCACAGTATATGGCCCAAACCAGTCACAGGCCACATCTAAGTGCAAGGGGGCTGGGAAATGTAGGGGATCAGATGAATATTTTGTGAGTCCACTTTTCTGATATTAGAAATGTCACAGTTTCCAATATTACTGACCAACAGTGAGCTACTGGCACCACACTATAGGGCTTTCTTTGACTTTGTCAGTTTCTTCCTTTTTTTTTTGAGTAGGCTCCATGCCCAACATGGGGCTTGAACTTTGGATCCTGAGATCAAGAGTCGCATGCTCTACTGACTAAGCCAGCTAGGCACCCCCAAATTTGTCATTTTTCTTGTCTTCTTCCCCTAATGTGTAGAAGTTGGCTGGACCTAGGGAAGAGAGGGAAAGGTCTTCCCTACTAAAAGTTCCTTTTGACTGTTCTCCGCATTGAATTTTAGGCAGCCTTTTCTGTTGTTTTTTCTCTTTTATAGATGATATTCCACTTAGTCGTCCTAAGAAAAAGAAGCCCAAAACAAAAAACACACCAGGTAAGAGGTTGTTCTTTTTTGTGTGGGATCACAAGTCTTTCAGGACCTCAGGAATGACAAACATCACAGATCAGGGAGAGGCAAGGCCCCAGCAGTCCCAAGTCACTGATGTGTTGAGGATAGAATCAAGGTCAGTTTAAAGTAATAGGATCCCTGGTGGTAGTGAAGAATAAGGCAGTGGGCAGCCTGAAGGGTGTCTAGAAGCATCCATGAAATAAAGAATTGTGCCACTTAAACTCTTATTTCCACAATATTCATGAACTCTTTGAGGTCTTTTATCCCTAGAAAGCATAAATTGTCTTAAGCTATGATTGGTTCCAGACCTTTGAATGGGATACTGGACACAAGGTCCTTGGATCCCTTGTTTCAGTCAGAGGATCTCTGTTAGAGCAAGAGTCTGAAGGCAGGGCCATTGCATCCATGTATTGGAGGTTCTGTAATGAGCAGTCTGCTTCTCCCTCTGACCCTCTTCCCTCTCATGCTCTCTGTCTCTCATTCTCTCTCTCTCAAATAAATAAATAAAATCTAAAAAAAAAAAGAAACTTTGAGGATTGATTTGATATACCAAGTACTGAATTTATTATAATTTATAATTTGATGTAAGTGTGGGTTAAGACCAATTCTTATAGTTATAGGTAAAGAGGTAACAAAGGACAGTTAATCATCCTTTAGGAACCATTCCAGTTCCCTTTTTTTTTCATCTTTTTAAGACTGAGTGTGATCTCTGCTCAAATTGTCCTGTTTTCCCACTCCGCTTTTCTGTAGGTAGTGCTTCTTTGGAAGGCCTTGTTCAGGCTTCTGTTCGCAGGCCATCTGAGGGCAGTGAGCCACCAACTAAAGAATCCACAGAACATCCAGAAGAACCTCCTGTTCAAAGGAGACAGAAGAAGATGAGGCTATCTCTTGGTATGTGAAGAAACCAAGGTTAGGTTGTGATAGTAGCTGTGATTTTGGGGGTATGATTACAAACTTCTCTGTTCCCATTTTTTCCCACCCACATCCCTTTGGTTTTTTTTTTTTCTTTATTAAAATTTTTACCATTAGTGTAACTCCAATAGTTTAAGTCAAGAACACTGGAGAGGGTCTCTTTTGGTCATATGTCCATATATTATGAGGGAAGGGATACAAATTCAGGATTAAAACAGAAAGTTCAAATCTTGGTGTGTATAAGAATTTAGTATATGCTAAAATGGACATTTCAGGTCAGTGGGGTAAGGATAGATTCAGTATTAACAATAATACAATGAAAGAAGAGTCATCATTTATTGAGTCTTACATTGTCCCAGGCACTATTCACAAGGTAAACAGAATAGTAATTGGCAATCTTTTTTCAGCATATAAAATTCAAAAGTGTTAGATAAAAAATGTTGATCAGAAAGGAGTACATTCATCTACTGCTGACAGGAGCATAAATTGGTATAGCCTGCCTGAACTTTAGGAAGAGAAGTAACTATAGTAGCTACCATAATTGAAGGATGTTAACTGTGCCATCATTTATAAGAGTACAAACTGGTAATAACCAATAGCTAACAAAGTGGTACTGGCTAAATAAATCACGTTTTATCTATTTAATGTGCTTCTGTGTCCATATCTTGCTCTTTTTTTTTTTCAAAGATTTATTTATTTGAGAGAGAGAGTGCATGGGCATGTGCAGGGGGAGGGGCAGAGGGAGAAGGAGAGAGAGTCTTAGGCTGACTTCGTACTGAGCGTGGAGTCTGATGTGGGGCTCGATCTTGTTACTCTGAGATCATGACCTGAGCTGAAACCAAGTCAGGTGCTTAACCAACTGTGCCATCCAGACACCCCCATATTTTGCTCTTCTTATAAGGATACGAGTTATTGGATTTCAGGCCCATCCTAATCCAGCTTGATCTCACCCTAAACTGATTAGACCTGCAAAGACCCTATTTCCAAATGAGGTCTCATTCACAGGGACTAGGGTTAGGACTTGAACATATCTTTCAGGGGAACACAATTCTACCCAGAACACATGTATATGCACGTGTATATATAGTAAAAACAATGGAAGGATATAGCAAAGTGTTGACAATGTTAGATTTTTTGGAAGGAAGAATTAGGGATGATTTTTTTTTTTTTAAAGATTTATTTATTTATTTGACAGAGAGAGCACAAGCAGGGAGAGTGGCAGAGGGAGAGGGAGAAGCAGGCTCCCCGCTGAGCAGGGAGCCCGATGCGGGGCTCGATCCCAGGACCCTGGGATCATGACATGAGCCAAAGGCAGACGTTTGACCGACTGAGCCACCCAGGCACCCCTAGGGATGATTTTTATTATCTTCCTTTCTTCATTTATATTTTATTAATTTTTCATAATAATATTGAGCATTATGATTTTATAGTAATTAGAAGAAAGACGGTTTCCTTAGAGTAAAAGAAAGGAGGAAGGAAGGAATAAAGATTGGGAGATTAGCTCTTTCCTACTAACATCAGCCCCTGATGAATAATTTGTTACAAAATAATTTCCCTGACCAATTACTTACTCTCTTAGAAAACAGTGAGTCCTAATTGGATGAAAGAATTATAGGAGGAGAGGGCAGAAACTGGAAAGTCCATAGAATGGAGCACAGTTTTTAGAGGCAAGTTGAAGTGGGATACTGTAGTGCCTGGGCAGAAGAGAGGAAAAAGAGAGAAATGATGCTCAGATAGTTTTATGGTTTATTTCATTACTGGCAGTAAAAATAGTTGAATTAAAGCTACCATCTTAGTTAATTCAGTTAGGGTACAAATGTGAAAATCAAGATGGATACCAGTACCTAGTTTTACAATTTATGAAAAATGTATTTACAGAAATGAGTTGACCATTTTTAGAAAATTCAGGACCCAACCAAGTTCTGGGCCAGAGAGGACCTGTCACTGTCATTCCAGAATGCACCCACCTGTGCAGGTATAGCTTTATAGATTTCTGGGTTTATATTTTTGTTTGGTTTGGTTCTGGATGACTGTGGTAGGCTCTACTATTTTCCAGTTTGAGCTGTAAGTATTTTATTAAAATAGAATTCTGGGGGCTTTGAGGACCTTCCAGGAAGCCATTGCCAGTATTTTCAGATTGGAGGAAGTAGCTAGCAGATGAGAAGACTCCATTGACTTACTTAAACTTAATACCCTGTGCTCAAGAAGGAGTTAACATAGCAGGCCTGAAACTGCTCTCATTAGGCTGCTTGCAAGGTTGCCTCTTCACTGGCCTCTGGAACTTGGCTGGTAAATAGTTCCTGCATTGATATAAAACTTTTGCTAAATTATAAGGGTGGTTTACTGTGCATTTGTGTACACAATAGGATTTTGTTGACCAGATGCTGACCACCTGCTTTGCTTCTGGGATTCTGGAATTTTGGTATGTGCTAGGCAGGGGGTGCCTTTGTGATCAGGTGCCAATAAAAGCCTTGGGTACCGAGTCTGTAATGAGCTTCCCTCGTAGAGAAAGTGTCACACATGTCAACTTGTTGCTGGAGGAATTAGCACATCCTGTGTGACTCCAATGATAGAGGACTCTTGGAAGCTTATACCTGGTTTCCTCTGGACTTTGCTCCATGTGCCTTTTCCTTTTGCTGATTTTGCTTTATGTCATGTCCCTCTAATAAACTGTAACTGAATGTGAGGACTTGTGAGTGTAATGACTTCTGAGTTCCATGTGTCCTTTGGGTGAATCACTGAACTGTGGGTAATCTGGGGCCTCTCCCAACATTCTGGGTGTTGGATTAGTTAACTTTTTCCGTATTTTTTGGCATTGCAATTTCAAAATTTTTGGTGTTTAGAGGTATAAAATTACAAAAATTAGTAAAATGGTGAAAAAATTTTGGCCTAATTAAAATTTTTAAAGTTGTCTTGTCTTGTAAGTTTTATATATTACTTTTCTTCTTACATGATAGTAATTTGAAAAGTTAATCTACTGTATTTTCAGAAGTGGAGACTTCCTTAACCCAAAAGAAGACGTCTAGTTCATCTTTATTACGAAATGAAAATGGTATTGATGTGGAGCCAGCTGAGGAGGCAGTTGTTAAAAAACCTCGAAGGAAGACAAAGTAAGAATTTATTTGTCCTAAATATTCTTCAGGGATACTGTGCTACTTAATTCAGAGCTCTCAAAGTACCTTTTGATAAATTTGAAAAGAGTAAACAACTGAAGAAGTAAAATACTTAAATTATAGATCCTAGGAGCTATCTCTAAAAAAGAAGAACATCAATAGAAAATATTATATAAGTAGCAAAAATTAAATACTAAAGATACTGAAATTTGAAGATAATATTAATAAAGTAGGCTATTGTGATATATTTTCTCATGTTAATAGAATTCAGGTTATGATTATTTCAGCAATAAATAAAAATGTGTATTTTAGTATAGGAAATTAAGTGTTGGATAAAACAGAATGGCATACTTTAAAGAAGTACACTGGAAGTTATATAACACTATTGTTTGTATTTAGAAATCACCCTACAAATAGTGATCAATATTTATATAGAATCCTATCATTTTAAGTTTGGAAAGAACCTTATAAATCTAGTTCAGTCACTTCATTTTCCAGATGAGAAAACTGAGGCCCACAGAAATGTATGTGACTTGCTGCACATAACAGTTAAGAACAGATTCATTTGTGTTATATGCAAACAAGGAATCGTGTTACACTACGTCAAAAACTAATGATGTAATGAATGGTGACTAACATAACATAATAAAATAAAATTAAAAAAAAAAAAGAACAGATCCATTTAAGTAAAAACCAAATTTCTCGACTCCCAAGTCCAAGCCTCTTTTACAGGTACCTCCTTATGTGGGTCTGTAAAAATTCAACAATAATCCGTTTTTCTTACATTCTTCCTGATTATAGGAAAACCCAGCCAGCAGAATTACAGTATGCCAGTGAACTGGGTGTAGAAGATGAAGACGTAATTACTGATGAGCAAAGCGGCCCAGAACAACAGTCTATATTCACTGCGCCCACTGGCATTAGCCAGCCTGTAGGCAAGGTGTTTGTGGAAAAAAGCCGTAAGTCGTTCTTGTTTTGGAACATGAGCTTTCTGGGATTTACACAAGGATATCCTTTGATTTAGGAATGACATTTCTGGAGATCTGAATTAGGGAAATAAAGATATGGACAAAAATTTAAACACAAAGCTAATCATCATACTGTTCTTGAGAGTGAAAAACTGGAAACAACAAAAATATAAAATAGAAGGGGTATGATTTCAGTCAGTTATCGTATATCTATATAGTAAAATCTGCATCATTAAAAATAATGTTTAGGGAGAATTTTTCATTTCATGGAAAGATTTAATGAAAAACAAACACACACATAAGTAGTTTGATCTCACCTATAGAAAAATGTGTAGGACAAAAGACTAGAAGGAGATATGCCAAAATATTAATGCTTGTTATTTCTGGGTTATGGGGTTGTGGGTAATTTAGAAAATCCCCCCCGAACCCCCCCTTAATCCATTCCTTTATTCTTGTACTTTACCAGTTTTCCACAATTGGTGGTGGGGGGGGGCAGGTAATAATATAAATGTTATAATTAAAAATAAATGAGAGAAGATACATGATGGTATTACCATATTAAATAAGAAATACAACCATATAGCTCCAGATTCTTTTGGAAGGTAGTTCTGACATTGTATAGTGTGCATGGATTATAAGACTGCATTTGCAGTGTTTAAGAAAAACATACAGAAAGCATGATCATGACTATATATATCTCGTGGATATGCTATAAGTGTGCTGCCTAAAGAACTCAAATGAACCATAAACATTAGTCCTAAAACTTTATAATTTAAATTTCATGTACACCATTCTAGAATTTCTATTCTGTAAGATGTCATCTAAGGGATCTTCAAGTTCTTGGCCAGTGAGAAACTTCTGATCCCGGGAGGCTGACTTTGCCAGGGTCTCACAGTTGGTTAGTGCGGAATTGGGACTTGAGTGGAGGTTTCATGGCTTCTAGTCAAGTGCTTTGACTAGTATACTGTGTTGCTATTTATTTACTTCTCTTTTTAAGCAATATCACTCAATCCTCATTTTTAAGCACTATCTTTTTTATAGTCTGTTTATTAAGCAGTGTCATTCAATCCTCATTTTTACTCTTGTTTTCCTTAGCACAGAAACTTCCCTACTAGAGTAACTGACCATAAAAGACACCTGTTGTCTGCCCAGAAGTTGTCTTTTCTTAGGGAAAATTAGGTGTTGCACCTCTGTCTTTCATCCTCCAAAATACTTGACAGCCAGATTTGGCAAAGGTAATTGAAGAACCTTTCCTGCTTCCCGTGGTCCATTTGTAGATTGGTAGATCTGCAAGAAGGAGCCTTGTGAACAGTACAAGGAGAAAGCTCTGTGCACACGGCGTTGCGGTGCTGACCCTTGAACTGACACTTGTCACAGGAATCTTCTCAAGTTTATGAGACAACCTCTTTCTTCTCTGTCATCACAGAATGCCATGCTACACACACTGGCATCTTTTCCTAGGAAATTCAAAGTGTTTTCAAACATTGACTTAACTTTGTAGTCTTGACATTTAATAAACTTCTGAAGTCTCAAAATTAGACTTTTGTAGATTATGTCATGTTAGGGGTTTCTAGACTTTGTTCTGAGTGGGAAGTTCCTTTTTATATTTCATTAAATATAAATGATTTCTAAAAACTGTTACTTTAACATCTGTTTTAGGATGAGAGGAGAGTATATGGACTTTGTTTATTTTCCCTAAAGATAAAAAGATAGCATATTTAAGCAACCAAAAGAAAAGAGCCTTCTCAAATAGGGACTAGATCGGGGAGAATTTTTAGATAGAAAAACAGACAAATCTCAGTCCCAGGGTTCTAATGGTGTGAAATAAGATAAAAAGATGGCCAGCGTTCTCTGTTGCTAGTTGTTAATAATCGTGTAATATGTACGTAGGGCGATTCCAGGCTGCTGATCGTTCAGAGTTGATAAAGACCACAGAAAATATAGAGGTGTCAATGGACATGAAGCTTTCCTGGACAACCAGAGATGTGGCACTGTCGGTGCACCGGGCTTTCAGGTGGCTGCTTGTGTTGGACTTTTCTTAAAATAAATATTCCATCATTTTTTAAAAAAAAACTGTTGATAGCTCAATATTGTTAACAAAATTAACAACTTAAAACAGTCAATAGGTATATTTTTAAAACATTTAATTGGAGTTAAATCATCTGCCTATCAGTGTAATAAAAAGAAAAGGCTTGTTTTTACTTTTTTGAAATGTTGAGTTTTATTCTTTTATGTGAAGATTTAAAAAATATTTTAGCTTTTTACTTTAGTCATACGTGTAATAATTAAACCCTTTTCCATTCAGGATGATTGGTCTCTTTTCTCATGGCTTCTTGGCTGGCTGTGCTGTGTGGAACATTGTTTTCATATATGTTCTAGCAGGAGATCAGCTTTCTAACCTCTCAAACCTTCTGCAACAGTACAAGACCTTAGCATATCCATTCCAGAGTCTTCTCTACTTGCTTTTAGCTCTAAGTACAATTTCAACTTTTGACAGGTAAGACTATCGTGACTGTATATCCCTCTAGCTTTTCTTCAGGTGGAAATGTTGAGCAAAATATGTCCCTGACTATGGCAGTTTTCGAAATAGAATTACAATATATTAATACTATTTTGACTTTTTTTAAAAGCCCGTCTGTTTCTGTTGGGGGCGGAGGGGATGGGAATACTCTCAACGAAAGCATCCTCAAAATCTAAACCCATTCCAGCATCAACTCTAAGTCTAAAATTTCATCCAAATATAATCAACAAAAACAGTCCCAAATATCATCTTCCAAATCACCTGAACCAGGTATAGGTGAGACTCTGGGTATTGTATGAGTTTCCTAGGGTTGCTGTAATAAAGTACTGTTGATCCTTGAACATCGCAGGGGTTAGGTGTGCCGACCTCTTGCAAGTCAAAAATTCATGTATAACTTTTGACTCCCTCGGAACTTAACTAATAGCCTACTGTTGACCAGAAGCCTTACCAATAACATAAATGGTCGATTACCACATATTTAGTATATGTATTATATACCATATTCTTCTAAAAAGGTAAGCTGGGGGCGCCTAGGTGGCTCAATTGGCTAGGCGGCTGGCTCTTGATTTCAGCTCAGGTCATGATCTCAGGGTCCTGGGATCCAGCTCCATGGTGGGCTCAGCTCTCGGTGGGGAGTTGGCTTGAGGATTCTCTTTTTCCCTCTGCCCCTCCCACACTGGTGCATGCATGCGCTCGCTCTCTCTTTCAAATAAATCTTTAAAAAAAATTAAAAAATAAAGTAAGCTAGAAAAAACAAAAATTGTGAAGAAAATCATAAGGAAGAGAAAATACATTTACAGTACTGCACTATATTTATTGAAAAAGATCTGTTTATAAGTGGACCTATGCAGTTCAAACCTGTGTGGTTCAAGGGTCAACTGTACTACAAACTGGGTGACTTAAAGCAATAGGAATTTATTCTCTCTCAGTCTAGAGGCTAGAAGTCTGAAGTTAAGGTGTCGGCCCGGTTGGTTCCTTTCTGGAGGGCTGGTGGGAGAGTCTCTTCCACACCTTTCCTTAGTTTCCAGTGGTTGCTGGCAGCTCTTGGAGTTCCTTGGCTTGTAGGCACATCACTCCAACCTCTGCCTTTGTAGTCATATGGTGGTCTTCCCCATGTGTCTCTTTGCTTCCTTTGAGAACACCAGTTGTATTGAATTAGGGCCCCTTCAAATGACCTCATCTTAACTCGATACATCTGCAGAGACCCTATTTCCAAATAAGGGCACGTTCACAGGTACAAGGGGTTAGAATTTCAACATGTCTTTGAGAACACAATTCAACCCATTAAGAAAAACAGCAACTTATACAGCCTGATGATACGGGTAATAGAGGTAGAATCTAAAGAAATTTTGCAGATCAAGTTTAATTTGTTTCTTTAGAGTGTCTAACTCCAAAGGAATGTTGACTAAATATTAATCTAGTTAAATGTTTTGTGTGGCTTTTGTAAATAAGATATTCTTTCCTGTGTATTTAGTATAAGGTGTAGCTACTTAAAGCTTAATAATAGACTATGTGGTAGCATTAGAATAGAGAAGGAAAAAACTGTAATCAAGAGAGTTTTAAGAGAAGTTTACCAATGCACTGTGACAAGAGACTTTTGTCTTTTCTAGGATCGACTTTGCTAAAACATCAGTAGCAATCCGAAATTTTCTTGCCCTGGATCCAACAGCTTTAGCATCTTTCTGTGAGTAAATACTTTCATTTGATAATTGTGTAATACTTGAATTAGATTGTAATTTTGAACCAGGAAAAGTTTAATTTTACTTTTAGAAAGATTTTATATTATTACTACTTATAAACATTACTTACAGATGTTCAGTGGAATTTGCAATTAAGAAAACATGACCGGTGTGATTTTGATAGAATTATTTTTCAATAGAGGTAGATCTAGATAGCTGTTAAAAGTTGAATTTGTTCTGTTTCTTAATGTTTTGATTTTGTAATCTCTACTTGATAGCAAACAGATTCAGCTGGCATGACATTTCAGTAACAAATACTATTTTGTATCTTTTTGATAATTTGGGATATGTTTTGTTCTAAGTTATGAGAATATTAATAAAACTAGTTTTAGACCTTGAGTAAGTCATTTGCTTTCTTAAAAGATCTTCTAGGTTCTTGTAATTTCTAATGATGAAATAGTGAGCATCTCAGAATACCCTTCTATACCTGTATTCTTTAAAAATAAAATAAGACTAGCTAGCCTACTGAAATTGATCAAATGAATTTCTTTTATGTCATCATCCCCCAAAGTATAGATTATTTTTGACCTTGCAGTAATCTATAAATTCAAAATAAACTGAGTTGTTAAAAATACATTATTAGTAATTTCATTTGTCTTTTTCTCAGTGTACTTTACTGCTCTTATATTATCTCTGAGTCAGCAAATGACAAGTGACAGAATCCATCTTTACACACCTTCTTCTGTTAATGGTAGCCTCTGGTAAGATTCACAATAGCATTAGCAATTGTTGATGGTAATAACAACAACAATGGGAGTAATGGTACTGTTCTTATCCTTCATTCTTTTACATTTTCTCATTTACAAATAATAATGAAGGCCCTGTTTTTGTTTCCAAAATTATGGCAAGAAAATATCCATTACGTTGGTTAGTGGATAACTATTGTTATTTATCACTGCATTTCTAATGAAATGAATTCTTTTTATAAAAATCTATTTTAGATCTATTAAGTTACGGTTATAAGATCAGTCATACACAATGAACTAGAGAAGCCCTATACCCTCACTCCCAGTCAGGAGGTCTAATACCCCAGAGTAGTGATGGCAGTGGGTAGCTGGGATGGAGTCAGAAAACCAAGCAATGCTAGAAAGAGAGCTATCTAGGGAGAGCCAACCTCCATAGATCAGAGTCACGAGGCTCACGGGCGAGTTGAGAGTCCAATTCACAAAAGTCAGAGGGGCAGTCTTTTTTTGGGAGAGTGGCTAGGGACATGAGTAGTATCACAGTAGTTGAAAGAGAAACTTAGAAAAATTGGCAATACTAAATTTTCACTTACGTCAATGTATAAAGCATATTTGTTTAGAGTTCAGTAACCTTTGAACCTTTGTTCCCATGGTGTGTGTGTGTGTGTGTGTGTAGTTATTTTATAGGGAAATTATATAAGATATATTTATTTCATGCTTTACTTGTTATTTCTCTAGGTGAGGACTGCTATTTTTTTAAAGTTCATTAAATAGATATATTTGGATATATGAACCCAAATGAAGATATTTCTAATGAGTATTTCTATACCTTTAGGGCAGCAGGTGTCGAGGAACAGGTTCTCCAGCCATGGATTGTGGTGAATCTGGTGGTGGCCCTTCTGGTTGGACTGTCTTGGCTTTTTTTGTCTTATACGCCAGGCATGGATCTTAGTGAAGGTATTAAAGAAAAAATAGTGGGCCACCTGGGTGGCTCTGTCGGTTGAATGTGTCTGACTCTTGATTTTAGCTTGGGTCGTGATCTCGGTGGTCTGGTCATGATCTTGGGATTGTGGGATTGGACAGTGCTCAGTGGGGAGTCTGTTTCTCTCCCTCTGCACTCCCCCCACGCTCATGTGCATGCTTGTGCTCTCTCTCACAAATAAATCTTTAAAAAAAATAAAGAATAAAGAAAAAATAGCATAAGAATATCATGAAATCTGTTGATTTTATAAATGTTTTTTTTTTTTTAAAGATTTTATTTATTTATTTGACAGAGAGAGACAGTGAGAGCAGGAACACAAGCAGGGGGAGTGGGAGAGGGAGAAGCAGGCTTCCCGCTGAGCAGGGAGCCCGATGTGGGACTCGATCCCAGGACCCTGGGATCATGACCTGAGCCGAAGGCAGACGCTTAACGACTGAGCCACCCAGGCACCCTATAAATGTTCTTTTAATGGATCTAGCTTATGATATTCTGATAACAAAGATGTATTTAAAATAAAATAATATAAGGAGGAGTGACAATAAAGTAGAGAAAGAATGCCAAGAGAAGCAGAGTATCTAAGAGAGTCGGAGCCTCAAAGTACTTACAGAAAGTCGCCTGTCACCCATGTGCATAATTGTATTTAAGAGGTATTTCTTTTCTTGGAATCCTTCAAGTATTTTGTAGTCTTTGCTCTTCATTTCTCCCAGTTTCCTTCTGATGAAAGTATCTCTTAATTTGAAATAAACCATGCTTCATCTGTGTAGCTGTTGTCAGACACATATTCGTTCTTACGTCCTCCTCTACCTGACCCAAGTTCTTCACCCTGCATTGTCTAATGAAGTATTTGGTAATCCTAGCTTTAGCGTGCTCAGTGCAAAGTGAGATTTACTAATCTCTAGTCCCTAGACTTCTTTTGGAACACCTGGAGAAGAGGAATCGTATTAGCAAACTGAAAGTCCTTGGGCACACTGCTTTAGAACGGCTAAGTTTATTTCCTTGGCAGATGTTCCGCAGTTTCATCCTTGAATCTCTTTGATATTTTCTGGACTTTGGTTATGGTTTTATTCTTGATTGGTTTAAATCCTGAGCCTTTCACTGCAATTTGATCAACTAATTACAACCTCAGAAGTCTTAGAATTGAGAACCATCCCAATATTTCCATTTGTAAAAACCAAGACAAAAGATGTAATCTGGTACATTTTTATTCATGAATGTACCTTTTTGCATCATAATTCTCATGTTCCTTCACTGAATATTCAGTTGCTTTATTTCCTTTGGTATATTTAAAGTCTTTTTAAAAGTCGTCTTAGGCTTTACGTATTTTGCTGTTTTTTGTTTTCACTCAGCATAGTTTTTAGTCATTCAAGGAATTTTTCATCTAATATTTATATCAAAGGACTTTATTTTATTAAATTCCTAAGGTCTTCTTTTTCTATATTTCTTAGTATTTTGATAAATTACACATCTATGCTAAGTAATAATTTAAATGTAGATACGTCAACTAATAACATTCTACACTGTGGTTGGGATTCTGCAGTATTGAGCCTCAATCACAAAGAGTGTGTTACTTACTAAATATTTCCAGAATCCTGCTCTCTTTTGTGAGTCATATAACATTTTATTTCTATGTGGATAAAAAGAGTAAATATAAAATGAGGATGATACACTTTGCTTATTGGGTTGTTGTGGTGATTAGGTGGGATAACACATTTAAGATATCCTGGCACACGCCTCATGTTAGTTCCATGTGCTTGGTCTGCATGTGTCCCTCCATTGTAGATTACCATGGTCACTGTAGAATTAGACCTTTCAGCTGTTTAATGACCCTGGGTTAGCTAAGTGACTTAAATTTTCTGGTAAGAGTTATTGTCTCCATTATATATGTTTTATTTTTCAGCGGTTTACAATACATTTAAAACTTGAACATTTTAAAATGCAAAACTTGCACATTTGTCATTCACTCACCTTTTAAATCAGATTTCATTATCAAGAATTGTTATTTGTACTTGAGGGCTTTCTATTATATATATTAAATATGTCAGTATTTCGAGAGACTGTTTAAAACTAAACTTTTTGAGGTACTGGGAAACCATTCTGAGTATGATCTGTTCATTTTCTCTCCCAGAGTTGATGTTCTCCTCTGATGTGGAAGAATATCCAGAAAAAGATAAAGGACTCAAAGCCTCTTCATAATGCCAGCTCACCTTCAGTGTAGTAATGGCCCAGTATTTAGAATTTTTCCTATTCTTGTTTTTAAATGTATTTTTATAAGATATGTACAGGTATATTTGGAATTGATTTTTTGATTATAGAGTACTGAAAGTTTTCTCAAGATTATGGAAAATGTTAAAACTTGTATCTGCAATTCATAACCAAACATTAATCTCTCTAGCATTATCATCTTAATGACAAAGGAGGTAATGAGCTCGAAACCAGCAGGTGAAAGTGTTTATTTCCTGTTTTCTCAAATTAGTTGCATTTATAATCATTATCTTAAAAAGCTCTTCTACAGAAACAGCCATTACTTTAGTGTTATAAAGTATATATCAGGTTTAAACATAAAATTTAGGGAATAGGAAAGAAGGGGGCAAAGACCTTTATTTATTTTTAATGCCTCCTTACTGAATAAATTAAAATATGAAATGTGTCTTTTTTCAAACTGGCTTGGTTGTGGTTATGTATCATGTAATAAGTATAATGTAATTCAGCTTGAAAGATGCTTTACTTCATGACTAATAAAAAGAAAATGTACCTTTTCTGTTTGAAAAGTTTCATATTGGGACTACACCAAAATAAAAAGCTTTTGCACAGCAAAGGAAACCATCAACAAAAACGAAAGGCAACCTACTGAATGGGAGAAGATATTTGCAAATACCTGATATATTTGATAAGGGGTTAATATCCAAAATATATAAAGAACTTATACAACTCAACACTAAAAAACAAATAATCCAATTTAAAAATGGGCAGAGGACCTGAATAGACATTTTGCCAAAGAAGGCATACACATGGCCAACAGACACGTGAAAAGCTGCTCAGCATCACTAATCATCAGGGAAATGCAAATCCAAACCATAATGAAAAATCACCTTACACCTATCAGAATGAATAACAAGTGTTACAGAGGGTGTGGAGAAAAAGGAACCCTTGTGTAATGGTGGGAATGCAAATTGGTGCAGCCACTGTGGAAAACAGTATGGAAGTTCCTCAAAAAATTAAAAATAGAACTACCACATGATCCAATAATTCCACTATGGGGTATTTGCCCAAAGAAAACAGAAACCCTAATTTGAAAAGATACATGCACCCTTAAGTATATTGCAGCATTGCTTACAAAAGCCAAGATAATGGAAACAGCCCGTGTCCGTCCACAGATGAATGGATAAAGAAGATGAGCTATATACATACAGTGGAATAGTACTCAGCCATTTTTTTTAAAGATTTTATTTATTTATTTGACAGAGAGAGAGAGACAGCGAGAGAGGGAACACAAGCAGGGGGAGTGGGAGAGGGAGAAGCAGGCCTCCCGCCGAGCAGGGAGCGCGACGTGGGGCTCGATCCCAGGACCCTGGGATCATGACCTGAGCCGAAGGCAGATGCCTAACAACTGAGCCACCCAGGCGTCCCACTCAGCCATTTCTTAAAAAATAATGAAATCTTGACATTTTCAACAATATGGTTGGACCGGGCGCCTGGGTGGCTCAGTTGTTAGGCATCTGCCTTCGGCTCAGGTCATGATCCAGGAGTCCCGGGATCGAGTCCCGCATCGGGCTCCCTGCTCAGCAGGGAGTCTGCTTCTCCCTCTGACCCTCCCCCCTCTCATGCTCTCTCTCTCTCATTCTCTCTCTCAAATAAATAAATAAATAAAATCTTAAAAAAAAAATATGGATGGACCTAGAGGGTATAATGCTAAGTGGGATACATCAGTCAGAGAAAGACAAATACCGTATGATTTCACTCATATGTGAAATTTAAGAAACAACAAAGACCAAAAAAAAGAAAACCTGACTCATAAATACAGAGACGAACTGCTGGTTTCCAGAGGGGGAGATGGGTGGGCGGATGGATGAAATAAAGGGGATTAAGAGGTACAAGCTTTCCAGTTACAAAATAAGTACGTCACAGCATAGGGAAGATAGTCAATAAGGTGGTAAAAATGGTGAAGAAGGAGTCCACAATCAAGAGGCGTGGGTGATCTCTAGAAGCTGAGAACAGTCCGTGGCTGACAGCAAGAAAATGGATGTGGGCTCAGTCCCACATCTTTAAGGAACTGAATTTTGCCAACATCCCGGATGAGCAAGGAAACAGATCTTCCCCCAGAACCTCCACAAAGGAATTCAGTCCTGCTGACCCTTGATTTTAGTGTGACCCATGTCAGACTTCTGATGGACAGAATGCTAAGATAGCAAATGTGTGTTGTTTAACCTGCTAAATTTGTTGGAATTTGTTAGGGCAGCAATAGAAAGTTAATACAAAGTTGAAGGGAGTTTTGCTCCTAACATCCTACAGAATTAAGAAGCTCTGGAGCTGCTGTGAAATGCAATTGGGAATGCTGGCTGTGTTGATTAATAGTGTACCTGGCATGGGCGTATCGCCTTTAAATTCTTCAGGTCTGGGAAGTACGACCTGGACTTCAAATCTCCCGATCACCCCAGCGAGTACCTATTCCCTGAGCAGCTGGTGGACTTGTATGAGTGTTATCAGAAGCTTTGGCCGTGATGATTGAGAAACTTTGAGGAAGTTCACTGCCAATTATATGTCTCCATAAGTGGCTCAAAGTCATCTTTTTTTCTCACCTTTCTCTCTCCATCAAGTGTAGGTAGGGTGGCTTAGTGGAGTTTCTGAGGTGTCAGTAGGCAAGATCCCCAGTGAGGTTTTTGTTGTTTTTTGGGGTGCAAACTATTCAGTAATTAACACCTACCTCTCCCCACTCCCCATAAGCAGAACAAAACATAGAGACTCCTAGGCCCATTACCCAGAGATTCAGATTCCATAGGTCTCAGGTGGTATCTTGAAAACAGCTGTTTAGAAGATGCCCCAGGTGATTGTGATATAGCTAGTAGACTAACCAACACTTGGGACCGCTGGCCTATATACACCATCTGTAATCAATTATGAAACGTAAAGCTTGGATTAGGATACATGATTTGATTTCAATCAAATTGCTAGGTTTGTGAGAGGACAAAAATGAGAAAAGGTATAAAACATACTACCTGCCTTCTAGAGGCTCCTAATCAAGTCAGAAAACATAGATAGGCATAGGAGTTACAGAATCTAGGAAAGTATTGTGGGTAAGGTTGGGTGTGGGCATATCCTTTATAGGATGGATGGCATTTCTACTGGTGGAGATGGGGGCAAGGTAAAGGCCATATGCATGAGTGAGCTCTGAGGGCTTTTCATTTGGAAACTATCAAAAGTAAAAATGTTGAAAGACTAGTGTTATAGCAACTGTAATGTAGATTAACCTAGATTTAATAATTGTTAAAATTTTGCCGTGTTTGCTCATTTGTTTTTCCTTATACCCCCCTTTTGTTCTTGCTTCATCTTTTTTTTTTTTTAAGAGAGGGAGAGAGAGATGGAGAGGTGGGGAGCAGAAGGAGAGAGAGAGAGAATCTCAAGCAGGCTCCTTCACTCAGCGTGGAGCCCGACATGGGGCTCAACCCCACAACACCGAGATCATGCCCTGAGCCGAAATCAAGAGCGGGACACTCAACTGACTGAGCCACCCAGGCACCCCTGTTCTTGGTAAATCTTTTGAAAATAAGTGGGAAACATCATGTCACAATATGTAAACATGCATGCTCCAAAAATAAGAACATTTGTTTACATAGCACAGTATCATTAAATAGTCTATCCTCAAATTTCCCCAGTTGTCTCTCAAGAAGTAGTCAAGGTTTGCATATTTCATTTGCTTGTTTTATCTCTTAATTTTAAATGGCCTTCTCACCTTCTTTCTCCTCCCATGACATTTTTAACTGAAAAGTTTCCTGAGATAAATGTAGATTCATGCATATTTGAGAAATAATACAACGAAATCCTTTGTACACCTTGCCAGTGTCTCTGAATAACATTTTACAAAGCTGTAGTATAATATAATATCTGGAATATTGACATTGATAAAACCCACTGATCTTATTCAAATTTCCCTAGTTTTACTTACACTGGTGTGTGTGTGTATGTGTGTGTGTGTGTGTGTTAATTTCTATACAGTTTTGCGAGTCATGTAGGTTTGTGTATCTACCTTCTCAGTCAAGATACTGAACAGTTCCCCAAACCACGGGAATCTCTCACTGTTGCCCTTTCAAATCTCCCTCCCACATCCCCATCTCTGCACCTCTAACTCCAATCTCTGGCTGTCTAAGCTGTCTTCTATTGCTGAAATTTTGTCATCTCAAGAATGTAATCTTTTGGAATTATCTTTCTTCTGCCCAGGAGATTCATCCAAGCTGTGTGTTCATTTCTTTTCATTGCTCAGTTGTACTCCGAGATAGATACCTGCTGCAGTTTGTTTAACCATTTCCCTCTTGGAAAACATCTGAGTTGATTCCATTTTTTGGCTGTTATGAATAAAACTGCTAAGAACATTTGTGTGCAGGTTTTTGTGGGAATTGTGTGTTTTTATTTCTCTGGGATACTGCCCAGGAGTGTCATTGCTAGGTTGTATGGTAGTTACATGTTTAATTTTTTAAGAAATTGCCAAACTGTTTTCCAAGTGGCTGTAACCTTCTATATTTCCTCTTCACATTTTTTTTTAAAGAATCCAAACCATTTTGTTTTCGAACGTCCCACCTACATTTTGTATTTGTTTGATTTTTTCCTAATAGCATCATTCAATTTGTTCTCTATCTCCTGAATTTCCTGTACACTGGAGGTTAAGTCTAGAAGTTTGACTAGATTTAGGTTAGATATTTTCTATGTTGCATCACATGAGCCCTAAGGAAGTCACCATGAGCTGGTGGGCAGCCTGTCTCATTGGCACAGTAAACACCACACAGCACAGACCCCGATGACAACAAACATGTATTGAGGGTTTTGGGCTCTTGTGCCATGAGCCCTGAGGGGTACAAGCTGAGGATCAGGTTCCTGCCCCCAAATAACTATCTTTTGAAATTAATTCTGATAACATGAGCCCACTAATAGTGATATGCCAGGTTGTAGCTTAGAGACAACAGTTAATTCTGCTTTGAGGGTATGTATATGGGGTTATAAGATTTAACTGAAAGCTGAAGTTTGAGCTGGCTCATGAATAAAAGAAAAATAGATCCCAAGTAGAATAGTAATAAATAATGATCCTGAGATAGAGTGCATTTTGGATACCCTTCATTTCCAAATTAAGGAATTCAAATTTATGGCTAAAAAAGAAGCTCTGAAAGTTTCTAGTTTTGTTTCTATTTTTATTTTTTGGTTTTGTTTGTTTTTAAAGGTAACCTGTATTAATATTGGAGCAGTGGAAAGGGTGGATAACAGCAGGCTGGGAGATCCAGGATTAAATCATTGCAGTTGTGTATGTGAAGTGTCTTAAACTAGGTGCCATAAAAAGAAAGAATAGGGTTCAAATATTTAGGGTTAGAATTAAAAAAATATGTCTGAAGTTTTAAGCTTTTGTGGCTATGATATTGCCATATTAAATGAGTTTGGAACATACTAGAGGTCTGGGAGGGAAGATGAATATTAACGTGTATTATGAGTGTATGGGACAGTAAAGATGTCCAGGTAGACTGTTGGAAACATAATATCTGGAGCTCAGGGGATAGCATAAGGAAGTGATTATTGATATTGTAAATCTCCCAGAAGGAATTGGTTTAGGGAAAAGAGGCTTACGATGGTTTAAGGGGCAGACAAGAAAATGAACTAAGGTGTTCAATCACAGTGCTGAGGAGCCTTGCTGTTCACCAGCATGCTATGACTCCCTTCTAAGGGAGACTGAAATGGCTTAGGCAAGGGCTTGCAGCTGATCCTCCAGGTTCATTAAGCTCACAGTCTCCCATAACCAGCTCTGGCAGGTGAAGGTGTGGGGGGGTCATACGTGTGTACGCATGCGCGGGAAAAGCCCAGGCCATGTGACTAGAGGACTGCGCCTGCGCAGTAGCAGGCCGGCAGTTAGGCGCAGACCCATCCAGCAGAGGATGGAGGAATGGAGCCTCCCCGAGAGTGGCTTAAGGGTTCTAAAGCCGCTGATAACCGCGGCGGGCAGGTCCATTCCCTGTACACAGCCCCTATACTTCAGAAGAGTCCGAATGCTAACCTGGAAATCATGCACAGCAAAGCGTCGGAGTTTTCTTCGGCTCGTAACTTCCAGGACCATAACAAGACCATGTATCTGCCCAAGGATGAGAACAAGGAGGGCGCTGGGTACCGGCTGCTGAACGTGAGTCGGGGCCCGGCCGGAGGCGTCTGTCCCTTACTTGACCACCTAGAGGGCTGGGGAAGGACCGAGGGGTCAGTGCATGCAGATGGGAGGGAAAGAGACCTGCCCTAAGGTGGAAGGTGTTAATAACTGAGGAAGCGCTTACTTGTGGGACCTTGAAGATTATTTAACTTGTCAGAGCCTGTTGCATTAAGACAATAATTTAGATAATAATTATGACAATCTACGTTATTTATAGGGTCGTCTGAAGATCTGAGGGAGCTAATGATGTAAAGTGTTTACCACTGCAAAGCACAGAGTCAATAAGTGTCAGCTGCTGTCGTCGTTGACGTCAGTGATGCTGTCCTCACCATCATTAGGATTTCATTTATATGGTTAAAGGGCTAAACTCCAGAAACTTCAGTTACCTTTGTTTTCAATTCCTGAGGTTCTTACAGATGAACTTATAGGAGCAAATCTGCGTCCTTTCTGCAAAGTGAATTGGCCTCCTGTTATTAATTAGATTAATTTCTATTTGAAATGTGTGAAATGCTTGAGTTTACCATATAGTGGTATAACCAGAGGATGGAGGAAATGGAAAGCGAAAATCAAATTGAAACTCACTTTTTCAAAGTGTTAGAAGATCATTAGGAAATTTCACATTCTCCGTTGGTCTTAAGTTATTAAAAAATAGTACAGGTAAAAGTATTAGGAGCAAACGGTATACAAAAAGATGATGTCCTCTGTAAAGTTAAGTTGAATTACTTGATCTCTATAGTACCCTAATTCCAAAAACTTTGAATACTCTTGATTCATTGTTAAGATAAATTGAGAGCATTTTAGGATTTAGCTATAACAGTAGGAAAAATTGCAAAGGTTGTGTAAGAGGGATGTGCTTGGAAGTTTAGGCCATAGAAGGTGTTTGTTGTATGTCGTTTTAAGGAATATGGACTTTACTTTGTGGAACGGTGATTTCCACAATTTTTTTGAGTATGAGGATTCGTTTTTATTGTGAAAAAGGAAAGTTTCTCACCGAAGAGTAACTGGCTCTTTACTGTCCACTGCCTGGGAAAATCTGTAATGACAAAAAGCTACCATGCAGCAGTGTTTTTAATTTGCTTATAGGTACAACAGTATCTACATATGTTCAGAGGAGTAGCGCACCTATATGCAAGGTACAGTGTTTACCCAAGTTTGCTTTCCCAAACTATTTGACCATAGAATATCTTAATATTTTGACAGAACAACAAAAAGAGCTTAGGAAATGAAATGTGCGCTTGGATTTAGTTATAATGACCTCATAGAGGAATTCTTTTCAGACACAGATGCAGAGGAATGAGTTTACGTGCTAGAGATGTTCATTATACAACAAATTTAGAGTAATACAAGTATATGTTATTAAAATTATTATAATAGCTATAAGATACACAATGTAGACCATTGAACACAGAATGGACGGCCCTCTTTATTAAATCTGCCTATGCATCAGTACACATGGAACATTGTATATTTAGGCAACAGGTAGTCTTTCTATGATTTCTTGGCATTTTATGGCACATGATTTCTTGAAAGCAGATCATCATAGGGTAATACTGTATAAATGTGTTTAGCATTTTCTGTTCAAAACAAAACTTCTGTTTAAAACTTGGAAGCAAATACATCACTGAGGTATTTCACATCTTTTGGAATACATTTTAGAAAACAGTAGTTTGCAGATAATGCTTAGAATACATTTGACTTCAAGGATATTCAAAGTTGAGAACCATGGCTACAGGAGATAGGAAAAGCTGGTGGGTTTTAAGCAGGGAGATGACATGGATCAGAGGTGCTTTGTTGAAAAAATTGTTTGACTATTCGGGTTTAAGGAGAAATTAAAGACCTAGCAGTCAGTGAGGACAGTAAAACCTCTGAGGGGATGGAAAAGCATGGGCTCCGAAGCACAAGTAGCAGTATCCTCTTTGGATAGGAAGAAGGGCATCTCTTCCTCCAGACCAGTGTTTATTTTATCCTTGGATCACCCATATCCACATCTTTGGGAGTGCTTATTAAAATCTAGATCCTTGGGGCGCCTGGGTGGCTCAGTCGTTAAGCGTCTGTCTTTGGCTCACGTCATGATCCCAGGGTCCTAGGATCGAGCCCCGCATCGGGCTCCCTGCTCCGCAGGAAGCCTGCTTCTCCCTCTCCCACTCCCCCTGCTTGTGTTTCCTCTCTCGCTGTGTCTCTCTCTGTCAAATAAATAAATAAAAATCTTAAAAAAAAAAAAACCTAGATTCTTGGGCCTCCACCTTAGACCTACTGAATCAAGAAGGCTGGGGCCCCAGGAATATGCTCAAATCTTAAACTACCCCAGCAGTTCTTAGATTCATGTATGAAAATTACTATAGATAGGTGGCAAAAGATAAGCATGGATGTGGGGATTGTAGATGGAGGGTGTAGGTTGGAGAAGAAAGCAACTGGAACCAGAAGAGTTTCATGAACTGGATGAAAGAAAAAGGAGGGATAATTGGAGGTCTCAGTGAGATTAAAAGGTGTATTGAATGTAAAGTACTAAGGGAATTGGAAGGATTAACTAGAGACAGTGCTCAGATTGAGGGATAGTGCAGTTTATGACTTGAGTAAAAATGTGGATTATGTACCCAGCACCTTAATGTCAGTTCTTTAAACCTCGCCCATTCCTTTCGGCAGCTCACTGCCTTTCTGCATCTTGGACCTTGTCTTCCCTCTGAGGATTTCACCTCTAAAATCCTAAAATCTAGTTTGCTGTTTCCTAACCTCTCATTACTTTTATTACACCTATGCTTTGAAATATGTACCCAGTTTTGTGTTACACGCTGAGGGATGCAATGGTGAACCACACAGGCAAAGCACCTTCCTGGAGAAAGCTAACTTTCAAATTGGAGAGACAGTTACAGATTATGATTTGGACTGGGGATCAGAGAAGGTTTCTCTGAGGATGTGGCTTTTAAGTGAAAAGCTGAAGAGGCTAGCCATTGAAAGAGTTAGCGGAGTTGGTGGAGAGAGCACAAGAGGGAGTAAACAAGCGTGAAGTTTTTGTAGAGGGATAGTGTGGAATATTCACGGAACATGGTGAATAAGAGGCAGAGTGGTGTGAAGTGGGGCCATAGCATATCTTTTTGTGTGTTTAAAATCCCTTAAATTTTTTTGTGTGTGTGAATTTTCTGTTCACATTATTTTCTTAAGAGAATTTTGTTCTTTCCCCCCTCCACTTTTCAAAAGTTCTTTATTAGGGATATTAGATCTTCATCTGTGATATGTGTTACAGATATTTTCTCACGATTCAACAGCTGTTATTTTGACTGTTGATGGTACTTTTTGCTATGTAAAAGGGTTCTTAATCTTATGAGGTCAAATTTATCAGTCTTTTATTGCAGCTGAATTGTGAGTCTTAGTTAAAAATCTGTGTACATACACCCAGGTCATAAATGAATTTACCTGTTACCTTTTAGTGCTTGTGTATCATTTTTACACTTAATCTCTTATTTAATCATTTACATTTAAATGCCTGATTTCTTTGGATTTCATGTATGAGGTATGGATTTAATTTTTTTCTTAAAGTAGATGTCTCTAAACCATTTATTAAGGAAAAAAATCAGTCTTTGCCGCAGTGATTTAAGATGTCACCTTTATACTAAGTGACTGTATTTATTTGATATTTTTTTTGGACTTTCTATTCCACTGGTCTGTTTATCAATTCATATACCAGGACCATTCTATTTTAAAGACTTATACTATGTTTTAATGTCAGCTAAGACTGGTTCCCTGCTTTGTAATTTTCCTTTTCTAGTGATATCCGGGCTATTCTCACTTCTAAAAAAAACACTTTATTATTAACTTGTTTATCTCAGTAAAGAAGCTTGTATTCTTCTATAAGGATTGCATTAAATTAGTAAGTTAGGTAACTGACATCTTTATGATGTTGACTTGCCCTATCTAAGAACAAGAGATATCTTTCCATTTATTTAGATCTACTTTTCTGTCTTTCAGAAGGGTTTTAATGGTTTCCTTTTAGGAGTTTTGCATAATTCTTGTTAAGATTATTCCTAAGGTGGGGCTTTTTCTACGCTATATCCTTACTTAATTTTTATGTATATTAAGGCTGTTGATTTCTGTATGTTAATTTCATAACCTGCTTATTGAATTTTTAAACATTTGAGCTAGTGTTGCTATTAATTCTCTAGAGTTTTAGATACAATCAGATCATCTTCAAATAGAGCTATTTTATGTTTTTCCCCCCAATTCTCTTGCCTTTAGTTGATTTATCTAATTGCTTTGGCTCATGACACCAGTAAGATGTTGAAGAGTGATGGTGATAGTAGGCAACCTTGCTTTGTTCCTGATCTTAGTAAAGTGCTTTTCATATTTCCCCAGCAAATGAAATACTGGCTTCAAGACTGGCTTAATTCCTACTTTTGAGAGTGTTTTAATCGGGAAAGGATAGTGAATTTTGTCAGAGGCCATATAAACATGTATGGAGATAATCATATAATTTTTCTCTCTAGATCTATGATGTGGTATGGTATATTAATGATTTTCTTAACATTAACCAATTTGCATTCCTGGAATTAATCCCACTTGGTTATTGCATATTATTTTCTTAATGTGGTGCTCGATTCTGTTTATTATTTTATTTGGTATTTTTGTATCAATATAAGTGATATTTGTCTATAATTTTCTTTATCAGTTTAGGTATCAGTGTTATGCTTGCTTTCACAGAAATAGTAAAGTTTTCTTTAATATTCAGTGGGACAATTTATGGTGCCATGGGATATCTGTTCTTTGACGATTTGATAGAATTCCCTGTAACACCTCCTGGGCCTGGCGCTTTTTTTGTGGTGGCAGTTCCTTGCTAATTTTCTCTATTTCTTTTATGGAAATTGGTCTGTTTAAGCTGTTTACCGCTAATGAGGTAAATTTTGTTAAGTTGTATTTCCTTAGGAAATTATTCATTTCACTTAGATTTTAAATATATTTGCAGGTCTGCAAAGGTCTTCTATGATTTT